ATATGTAACAGGTCAAAGCGGATAATAACGGCTAGCGGTGAGTTTGGACTGTTACATTTATCTTTTGAGAAGAGTCAAGTTTTGATAAGAAACTCACGAGATAAAAAATAAAAACTTTCAAAAGTCACATCCTTGATTTTTTATTTTAGAACATGAGATAAAAATGATTCCTTCATTTCTCCTGCTGATTCTTTCTGTGATAATTCTACATAGATTTGACAATATTTTTTTCTACTGCAATATTGTTTGCATTCATAGCTTTCTTTTTTTATGAAATGCAGCAAGTTCTGGGTAACATGACTCTGCCCCATTCCATTGGGAAGGTAGCATCTGAACTTTGTTTGAATGAGCATGTCACATTGGAACTCAATATTATAGTTACTATATTGAAAAAAAAATACATTACTTTTCAGACTGTCAGAGTAGCCTTCTTTGCTGAAGGGGCTGACGCTGAGGAAGCAAGGGCTGCAGGAGCCGATATTGTAGGCGGCCTTGAACTTATAGGAGAAATTGCAAGTAAGAATTGACCCTGTTGGTTTTCTTTTTTTGTTATTAGGGAAAATTTCATTTTCGTTCTTGTACGTATACTCGACTCAACGAGTCAATTTTATCCTTAAAATTTCAATTTCACCAAAGTTAACGAAACTAATCCCTTTTAAGGCCTCTCTATATTCTCTAGGATTGTCATTGAAAAAAATGATCAAAAGCTTTACAAAATCTAGTTAGTCCTGTTAGTTTGATGATCAAACTTGAATATGTAGCTAAATCAACGTTTGGGACTTCATTTCTCTTACTCTGTATGCAGCCAGTCGGAAATTCAATGTTGATAAGTGTTTCTCAACCCCTGAAATGATGAGGCGCATTGGCAAGGTGTATAGAATTTAAAATTTTTGTGGTTTGTTCTGCTGTTCTATGCTGATGGCTGCTTACAGAATATATATAAAAAGCTTACTCAAAGTTTGATCTTAATTACTGTTCAGATTTCAAAGATTTTAAGACAGCGTGGATTGCTACCAGATCCTAAAGTGAGCCCATAATCCTCTGTTTCTATGGTGCTTGGTTGCTTAGAAATTGAAATGAACTCAGATTTGCTGATATATTGTATAGCTAGGTACTGTGACCAGTGATATCAAAGGGGCTTTAAAGAAAGCAAGAGAAGGTCACATGCACTTTAAGATGGATTCCACGTCTATTGTTCATGTGGGGCTTGGGAAGGTAAAAATCACTTAAGTTGAACGTATATTGCTTGTTTTTACGAGGAATCAACATGGTGAATGTGAGATCCCACATCGGTTGGAGAGGAGAACGAAACATTCTTTATAAGGGTGTGGAAACTTCTTTCTAGCAGATGCGTTTTAAAAACGTTGAGGGGATGCCCGAAAGGGAAAGCCTAATGAGGACAATATTTGGTAGTGGTAGGGTTGGACTATTACAAATGGTATCAGAGTTAGACACTGGACGGTGTGCCAACAAGGACGCTGGGCCCTGAAGGGAGGTCGATTGTGAGATCCCACATCGATTGGAGAGGAGAACGGAACATTTTTTGTAACGATGTGGAAACCTCTCCTTAGCAGACGTGTTTTAAAAATTTTGAGGGAAAGCTCGAAGGACAATATCTGCTAGCAGTGGGTTTGGACTGTTACAAATGGTATTAGAGCTAGACACCAAGCATTGTGCTAGCGAGGACGCTGGGCCCTGAAGGGGGGTGGATTGTAAGATCGATGTAAGATCTCACATCGATTGGAGAGAATGATTCTTTATAAGGGCGTGGATACCTCTCCCTAGCAGATACGTCTTAAAAACCTTGAAGGGAAGTCTGAAAGGGAAAGTCTAAACAGGACAATATCTGATAGCTGTGCGCAACTCTAACTTTAACTATTTCTTGCAGGTGAGTCATTCAGAAGAGTCCTTACGAGAAAATATCGGTGCATTTGTGAATGCTCTTTTGCTTGCGAAGCCTGTAGGCTTGAAAAAAGGCAAGTTCTCTCTTATTTTCTCTTAATCTGTGGTGGATGAATATCCAATAATCAATGCAAGTTTATTTGTGATTGAACTTAAAATATGCTGTCATTACTTGCAGCCTCAAAATATGCTGGATATGTAAATTCCTTCCACATATGTAGCACGGTAATTCTTATAAACCTTGTTCCATTCATTGCAGTGTCCACATTTCATATGGGCATAGTGATAAAACCATTGAGTTCAGCTAAAATGATTGTGTCAAAATCCCTCAGGAATCCTCTAGGATATTATACAATACTCCAAGTTACTCAATCATTCATTAGTTTCTAATTTCAAACTTGATGAACATGGATCTTGAAAGTTTTTGGCTACAAACATTGTGATAATAGACGAGCTTAGAGCTTATCTTCTCTGCAACTCTAAGATATTCCATGCTTCATGCTGCTAAGGCAACTGCTAAATGTCTAATAAATAGTGAAGCAATTCATTGTTCTTTTTGATGTGCAGATGGGTCCTGGATTTCCAGTTACGATACAATCGTTGTCCAAAGTTGCAGATCAATACAATAAGAAGTACTTAAGCGGCGTGGTTCGATAATACAGGTCGTTTCGTTGCCATTTTTTCAACTTTGACCTCCCTTCCCCCAACTATAATTTTATTGTCACAAAGCATGAAGTAGTTCCTTAACAAGCCTTCGAGGCGCTTGCGCCGTATTCCTCGTATGAATATCAATGTCATTCTTTTTTTTTTTTTCAACAATATGTGGAGGCGAAGGGAATTGAAACCTCCAACTGTCTTTCTTCTTAATGGTATTGTGTTATTTCTTCAAATTAAATATCTCAATTAAGGATTCGAGCTAGCTAATAATTATTCAAATTTTTAGCATAAGTTCGAGAAGTGAATAATGATGACGAAAGAAGATTGAAAGATGTGAAATTCTTTGTCACCCAATTGGGAGAAACTTCAAAGATTAAGGCATCTTTAGGTCCACACATGTATCCAAATATATACCACCTTTTCATATTCTATCTTACTTCAACTTCTTTAGGGTTCTTCCCCACTTCTCTTGATTTGATTTTGATCAATAATTGTCTTTAATTTTGGAATAATCTTAATTGAATGTTAGAATTCAATCACTTGAAGAATTTGAAGGCTTAATTTTATCTATAAAATATTGATGCTTTTGTATTGAACACACTCGGCATGCTTTAAACAAGCATCTTTCTTAGGCAAAAAGAGAGTCATTTTAGCCTCACAATATATATGCTACCATCGCACATGTCGGAAGGAAAAATATACGTGGAAGCAATAAGTTAGAATATCTATTTCTGATTAAGTTAAATAAGTACAAGTCATAAACAATAATAAAAGAGATACAGAAAAAGAGAACGACGTTGAAGGCTATACCTAGTTCGCTCCAAACTCAAATTAGGTCGGACAATCAATAGTCTAACAAAAGTTATTGTTCGTTGGAAATAAACAAAGTACATAATCCCTTCAATACAAGAAATAAACCCTCGAGGTCATACCCTAAAAACTCAATATACTCATTGTACATTTATTAAAGAAGAAACGCTAACATCGCACTCTGTCCAAAAAAACCTTGTTGCTAGGCAACACATATATATATGAATTATGTTATTTTGACCTAACTCGTAAATAAGTCGGACCCTTATAGCTTTTTGTGCTTGTAAGCTTTAGATTGTTTTTCAAAACGTTGTTCAGCATCTTGACACTGCAACTTTTTTGTATTGATTCTCTATATTTCTATGGTATTATGATGCTCTCTTTATTGTTACGAGGTCGTCCTCGTACCAAAAATATTATAATTAACATGAAAAAGAAGACTAATAAATTTAAGTTAAGAAACAAGGGATCGAAACCAACCTACCTTAGTTAGAACAATATTTATGAAACAAACAAATATGGCATAAATATAAATAGTTTTTTTTGTAAATTAAGAGATTCTCTGCATCACCTTCCATAGTTTATTAATCTTATACTTGTTTTAATTAATAGGAGATTAAAATACTAATTAGCTAAAGACCTTCAAGGATACTTCATCATATACCACCATTCATGTGTTGGAAACAATATTTTATGAATCAAATAGTTCGCATTGTGTACATACCTTATGGTCTTCATTAGAATTACCATCCCTGACCTAAACGACCGACTTTCTTTGTTTATTCGGTCGCCCGAGCCCGAGGAAACTTCCCATAGCTGCCCTAGCTAGTTGCTAGCTGATTGCTAGTAGCCTTAATTTGCTCCCATTGACAAGGAGGGATGAATGAATGGATGAGGGAGACATCTTATTTGTTATACTCAGAGGCACATGTAATGTTTTCTTACCCTTCTAAGGCACACATGTTTTGATTTTCTAAGACAAAAAGGCACATGTTAGCTCAAATAATATTGATTTATGTCTACTTTCTATATAGCCTTGAATATCAACGTGTAATGAAATCATACATTCAACGTGCACAAGTGTTTGCCACGTTACAGTTTGTCTTTTCTAATAATTTCTAACATTCAAATAAAAAAAAACCAAATCTAATCATGAAAATTCATAGACTCAAGAACAAAAATCATCATCCAAAGGATTGTTTAGAACTATAGCATTCCATCGAATCGTTATACCTGATTTCAGATCAGATCATAGGAAATAATATCCAAGTGATATAGAAGATCCATATTATTGAAGGCAACAATGTAATAATGGCATTTGAGAGATGTACAATGATTATTAAATATCAAATCTATGATATCAGCTCAATTATAACTTAACTAATCCAAAAAAACTTTGAAGATGCAAATAAAAAAATCAAAACTATGAATGATGAGAGAGGACCAATTTGTTAACAGCCAGTGACTTATGTTCTCTCTCTTTTTGTCTTGGGATTCTCTTAAGTCAACCAATTTTCTTCTATAAATAATCAATCATTCAGCTTAGTTCACTCTCCAAAGACAAAGGGACAAACCCCAAAACCAAATTGAAAAAAGTTTACCTTTCTTTGTTCCCACTTTTTCTTCTTCTCTCAAGCTTTCAAGTTATGGACACAGAGGAAGTTCCTTCGCCTGTGACGCCGGGGACGCCCGGAGCCCCACTGTTTGGAGGACACAAGGGGAATCACCATGGAAGTGAGAATGGAAAAAGGTCTCTTCTCAAGAGCTGCATCTCCTTCAATATTGGTGATTGGGGCACCGAAGAAGGAAGCTTATCTAAAGTCTCACTTGCAAGGAAGGTAACCCTACAAGGAAAGGTCATTTTGGTAGCTGAAGTTCAAAACTTTACACCGACCCACATCTCTTTTCAATGTCACTTTATATTTTAACCCTCTAATTTTTCATTTCAACTTCAATGGTGTAAAGAAGAAAATTGTCTTCCCCTTACTGTCTTATATTCAAAAGGATTGCTAAAACAAAGTGATATTCAAGAAGAGTTCCTTCAAATATTTTTCTAAATTTTTAAAATTGAGATTTTTTTGGGCGGAAGGATATGGATCTCAAACACTTTAGTTAAAGATATGTACCTTAACCAGTTAAGCTATATCAATAGGTTGGAGCGGAGTTCATTGGCACTCTGATGCTCATCTTTGCTGGAACTGCCACTGCTATCGTGAACCAAAAGATACAAGGAACTGAAACGCTCATTGGCCTAGCAGCCTCCACAGGCATGACAGTGATGGTTGTCATCTTATCGACCGGCCACATCTCCGGAGCCCATCTGAACCCAGGCATCACCATTGCTTTCGCTGCACTAAAGCACTTTCCATGGAAGCAGGTAGCCGCCATGAGATCTCCATGGCATTCAATCTTTTAACTTCAAAAAAGTTGCTTAAAATCTTTTGAGCTTTTCTGATATGCCTTTTGCAGGTGCCGGTGTATATTGGAGCTCAAATAGTAGCTTCTCTATGTGCGTCATTTGCATTGAAATGGATATTTGACCCCTTTATGGGTGGAGGAGTGACTGTTCCTTCATGTGGATATTCTCAAGCTTTTGCTCTTGAGTTTATCATTAGCTTCAACCTCATGTTTGTCATTACCGCCGTTGCCACCGATACTCGGGCTGTAAGTACCTCTTCTTTTCTCTTTCCTTCTTCAGTAAAAACACAAAAAAATAAGCTTTATTTTAAGCCATACAACGTGCAAGTAATAATGCTCAATGTACTAAAACTAAGTTAAAATCTATGTATTCAAAACCTTAAAACAAAGAAGGAAGTAACACCAAGCTAACCTAGGAACTTGTTTGGATTCTAATAATCATTCGGCAAATTAAAACATAGAACAATTTCTTTTTTATTATTATTTTTTAAATCTTTTGAGTTCAACAACTATGGAGTAGAGAATTGACTTATCGACCTTTTAAGATGATAATTGATGTCTTGTGATTCACTGAGGAACTATGCATGGATTTACCAAACTATTTCTTCCTTGACACTACTAAAAAGGTCTTTAACATATCTAAGGATCCACTAAATTATTTCAAATCCTAAGCTCTTAATATTCTGAGTATTCCTTAAATTTTTTAAAAGTTATCTATTACAAGCATGAATAAATAAAGTTTTGGGATTGAATATGAAAAGAAAATGCAGGTGGGAGAGTTGGCGGGAATCGCGGTGGGAGCAACAGTCATGCTCAATGTCCTCATCGCCGGGTATGTTCAAACAATCCCATTAAATTATAGGACAAGGGCAATCATACTCCTGAGCTAACACTTTGTATTTCGCTAAATGTGTTGAGTTGGCTGTATTAGAGCTCATTATTATTATTTTTTTTTCTAGTGTGGATTTTGAGTGTGTAAAACACTATAATTGGTTAACCAAGTTCATTCATGTTCTTCAAAGAAAAAAATGTGGATCCTCCTGTATGATGCAATTAGAACTAGTTAAGTAGATGTCAATTAGGTGGCTCCAGTTTTGAAGAGGAAACAGTCTGTAATTTAGAGCATCTTATGAACAATTTCACCACCTTCACCAAACAAGGAACAAACTAAAAGCTTTTCATTTTGATCATGCTATAGGGAAACGACTGGAGCTTCAATGAATCCAGTGAGAACACTGGGGCCAGCCATTGCTGCAAACAATTTTAGAGCCATATGGATTTACCTCACAGCTCCCATACTAGGGACATTGTGTGGAGCTGGAATCTACACTGCAATTAAGTTGCCTGACCAAGATGGCGATGCACGCTTGCCTTCCACTGCAAGAAGCTTTCGAAGATGACGACAGCTCCCTCGCCCGATCTACCTATATAACCCAAAAAACATGATCATTAGATTATTGAGTCAAAATACAGATCATAAAAGACCAATAAGATGGAAAACCAAATGAATTCTTGGTAGTAAATACATGACAGAACAGTGTCGACAGACTGGGTTCAGATATCGGTCTTGTGTATGATGATACAAAGGATTTCCAGTTTTTAACAATGGAAAAGAAACTCCCAAGAATTATCTTGTAATCTGAAATGAAGCAATAGAAGTTGACTTGTAACATCAATGGGGGCAACATCCAGAAAACCACATAATCTGTGTTCTTTTTCTATACAATAAGTTCTTGGTAAGCTTATATACACTTTCACTAATCTCATGAAATAACTACTTGACTCTACAGCATTTTGATTATCGAAAAAACGAGTGTGGATTTTAGTCAGGAGGGTGGGTATCATGTTTACACTACTCAAAATGGGAAGGAAAAAATGAGCTAAACCATGAAGATCCTTTGATTCTATACTGCAATCAACCAGCTCAGAAAATCTAATCAAACACATCGCTAACTCAGTAATTAAACACATCGCTGATCATGAAATGCAGTACTTTAAGCATAAAACTATACCTTTTTTTCTAATTTACAATTCTCACCTTCGAATATACGTAGCACAGTAAATGAAGTTCAATATTTCTTCACCAACACAAAAAAGAAGTAACCTCAACCAATCATGCCATGGAATCTCAGTTAGTGTATAATTTATAACCCAATTTCAAACATTGATCTGAAATGAGAAAATTAACCACATTCTCAAACAGAACACAGAAGTTCAATTCACCTCCAACGTATCCCTCCGTTTCTCAAAATCGCCACAAAGGACTAAGTCCTAAATCGAAGTAAAACCGTTCACTTTCGTACAGAAGTACTCGAAAAACCAAGCCTCTTAGACCATTAAAATGTCTCGATTAGGGCTAGCTTCTTTGCCGCCACCCCTGCGGATCGAGAATCTGAGAGCGTGAAGAAAAAAAGAAGCGATCAAAACGCCGACGAGATCAGCAACAGCATCCCTGGTAGACGCTCCGGCTGACTTGAAGAAGCCGAGTTCGTCGGCGACCTCTTTGGCGGCTCCGGCGAAAAGAGAAAGAACGGATCCAATCATAATTGAATGGCGGCGGATGAATGGATACCGTGTCAGTGTGGCCAATGCAGCGAAGAAGACGGTGAGAGTGAAGCAGAGAAGGAAGTGGTAGAGCTTGTCGGGAGCAAACCATGGATCTTCGTCGTCGTCCATTCGCGCTCTGGTTTCCCTCTTTTTTCGGTTCGATGCTTCCCTTTAATTTGCTATTTGATTTATATTTAAAATTAGGTTAAAATTTCAATTTTCAGTTCAATAATTGCTTTAATTTGCTATTTCATTTATATTTTGTTCAAATTTTCAAAATTGATATATATATATATATTTGTTTAATAAATATCTATATTGAAATTAATTTTTTTAAAAAAATAAACATGAAATCACAATTAAAATTTTTAACCTTGTTCAAGATGATGAGTGTCTTATCCATTGAATTATATCGAAATTGATATGAACATTAATTGCACACAAACTAATTCACAATTCTATGTGATGAGTGTCATCCATTGTGAACTATACCAAAATTGATATAACATTAATTGCACACACTAATTCACAATTCTATTTTGTTCTATAACGAGTCGTATCCATCAATTCCGAAAACATATAGAAAGTAATCCAAACATACATAGATATAGATAATTGTAACTATAGACATGAGAAAATATGGATCCAAGGGTTTGTTAAGAGGGGAGTAGCCACAGTGTGCTCGCTCCAATGAATAATTCTAGCACCCGATATGACTAAATATAGATAATTGTAATTATAGACATACATACGTGTTTGAACATATACTATCATGCATAGTTGTTCTTTAATGGAACAATGTAACTGTACATTCTTTAGTTTAAGGTTCTACTCTATAACGTAGAATACATGAATATTTTATCCACTTCGGTTTCCAAGCGAGGATATACATTATTGATATTACATACACTCCATGCCACCCCGACCCGACAAGGGATTAATGTACAGCGACACGACAATATGAAGAATATTTAATGAATTACTGAGGTAAAAATTGTTACAAATAGAGTCAATAAGAAAAGAATAGATGGACCCTGTAAAGAGTATGGAAACAACAAAAGCACACAACAACTTCAACACGGTTTCCAAGAACATAGTCACAACTCACTTGGTCAACCAGTAGATAAAGATAAGAAATGTGCATACGGACGCCACAAGGGAGAGTATGATTGTGTCCATTGACTTTTTCCTCTTTATTGCTCCAAGAATATGATTTACCTGGATCATCATTCAAATTATATCAATCAAATGGATTCACCATTTGAATACAACATAACAAGGATTTATGCCACTGGTTAAGGTATACGTTCGACTAAAAGGTTAAAAATTTGAGTCCTCACACCTACGTATCATTGAACTTTAAGAAAAAAAAAGTGTCCGATGTTTTTTTTTTAATTCATCATTGTCTTATTTCATCCGGAATTGACATTCTTTCCACCAGAACTATTATGCAGGTGTGAAATCTCATTTTAGCAACTATTTGTGGTACCGATCGAAAAAACTCGTAAATATATATATAGAATCACTTACGGATGGAAGGCGACTGCTAACGTTACTGAGCTTTGAGTTGATGCCACCGAAGGTCGATCGCTGGAAGACAAGTGCACCTAGGGTTGCTTGAGCTTGTGAAATCACATTATCCATCTATAATACGAAAAGTCAGTAAAAACCCAGATGCCGGATTCCAATATGTAAGTAGCTGTTTACTAAACTGAAAATAAATGACAGGTTGCTGAACATGATTACTTATACATAATGTCAATAAACCATTTCAAAAACGAAACTTGGTCAAAGATATCAATACCAAACCTTCACGTTGAGTATAATAGTGTTCATGCAAATAGCTATGACATAAATAGAAATACCTGTCCTGTGCTACGGCTAACAGATGCGTGCTCCTTTAGAAGAGCTTGTTCTGAAGAACCCGGACTATCTTCCAATTCGAGTCTTGAACGATCAAACTCCCTGAAGTCGTCTAGAAGTGAAGCATGTTCTTGCTTGGCTCTGAGGCCGGAGCGAAGACGATAAAACTCCTGCACTAAATCGACAAAACTTGGTCTAAGATTCCATATGAGACATATTCACAACGGAATTGTAGCAAGACAATGAAGATCAAAAGAAAAGAAACTTGCAAAAGCTGGACTATGTCTATCTGCTTAGCTTGATGCTTCCTATAGAGTAATTATAGACCAGGTCTCACAAATGAGCCTAAAGAGGTCCAATGGTTACCCTCATTCTCACCACTCTTCACATTCAAAAATATCATTAATTAGAGGGCAGAGATCGCCAAAATAAGGGAAAATAAGAACATTTGTGGTATCTTATTCGAATTCAATTTCTTGTTTTCAAATTTATTAAATTCATTGAAAATAGTACTTGAATCAACATTTATACATTTTTAGTGTTTTCAAAATCTATATTCAACAATAGTAAAAACATGGAATGAAACTCTGATTTCAATTAAATCCAATGTGTTCTATATTCTTGTTTCTGAATCACCTACCATACACACCCCCAAGGTTTTGTTCTTATCATTACAGAAATGCCAAACCAAATCCATGAGTTCACTGTTGTTAAGGAAAATCTTCAAAACATGATTATCTAAAAAAAAAATCAACAGAATGAATTGGAAGGAGACAAAAATTAACGAAACGAAGTACTCGATAGCAGTTCCTCCCTTCTAATGCGAAAAGATCCACATTGCTAGTAGAAAAAGAAAATTAAGACATACCTGCGTAAGATCTTGAAGAATTTCTTGATGTCTAGTTAAGGTATGGGAAACCATTTCAGAACCACCAGATGAGACCCAAGCTTGCATCTGTGAATTCACTTGTTGTAGCTGCTTTAACAAACGTTCTATCCCAGATTCAACATCATTTTCTGCAGCATCAACATTTGTAGAAACTTTTGTTGAAACCAATTTTCGAAAAGAATTCATCTGCTCATCCAACTGAGCTTCAAGTTTCCTTGCCTGTAAGCACATAACAAACATTATCACTACAACAATGAAATCAAAGATTGGAGATGAGACAATGTAGAGTGAAAAAACACAATTTCTCATACGTGCAAAAGAAATGAGATAAAATTGGCGAGACAGAACAACGCCGTCCTAAAATTAGAGTATCTTATCATTTCCAGAAAAACAGATAGCATAAAGAAGCATACAAGAATTGCGCCGACAATTATAATCCTGCGATTAGCGGCTTCAACAATGTCATTATAACAGAACCCGCTCAAGAATACAAGACCATAATTACATCTCAAATTCCAAAATCCCGATCCTCCAAATTCAAAACTAGCCAATCGCCGAACCTAAACAGCTATAGATCACGACCTAAAAGTAAAACCATCAATCTTTCCTGATTCCTCAAATTACACACAATGAAAACCGCTCGTAATCATCATTTCTCAAACGGCAATGTTCAAGGTCACCGACAATCAGAAATAGAGCCAAAAATACAACCAAATCGAGAAAAATGAGTATAGTAAGACAAACAGAATCCAAAAACCGAAAAGATACGAAAAAAAATTGATGATTCAAACCTGTTTGCGAAGAGCATCCCACGAGCTAGGCATCTCCATGGACATGGACATCAATTTACCGATCAGAAACAAAAACAGGGGCCAATTTCTGCGAATCGAATCCTCTCTTCTCGAATCTTTTCAAATCCTCCTCTTTTTGTATGGATTGGTGAAATTTCCCTTTAGAGGACGGAGAAATGGATTCGTTCAGAGACGAGACAGATCGTCCGAAAATCAACCGGCAAATTTTGCGTAATCTGTAATCCTCCGGAAAGGGGAAAAAAAAAAAAATTCAAATCCTCTACGGCGTTCTCATTTTAAAACTCTGCAATATGGCTCTTCGGTGAGCCCCATTATATGTCAACCGCTGAAATTTTTCGTTGACTTCTATTTATTCTAATCGCTTCAAGCTCTTCATGAAACGTCGTCGTCAAAGGCCGTTGCCGGTTCATCGTCACTTGCGTGAATTTGGGCCCAATATTTGTCTAGGCCCAAATCCTCACGGAAATTGTAATTTGGGCCTTTTAAGTGTTCGGTCCGATTATTTTATATTGGGCCATTGAGATTTTTTTCTAAGCCCAAGGTTTCAATTTAAATAGTTTTTTAA